CGGACCGCGAGATCGTGACCTGGCTGAAGTCGGACGCTTAACCGACTGCGCCACCCAGGCGCCCCTCTTTCTTTCTTTTTTTAATGTTTATTTATTTTTGACAGAGAGAGAGAGAGCACAAGCAGGGAGAGGAAAACAGAATCCCAAGCAGGCTCCTCCCTGACAGCAGAGAGACCTATGTGGAGCTTGAACTCATGAACTGTGAGATTATGACCTGAGATGAAGTCAGGTGTTCAACAGACTGAGCCACCCAGGCGCCCATCTTTTTTTTTTCTTTTCTTTTCTTTTGATTAAAGAAGTATTTTTCTTTTTCTTTGTTCTTTTTTTTTTAGAAGTATTTTTATTTTTCTAATTTGAGTCAACATGCAGATCAAAAGTGGATGGTTCAGTGAATTTTCACAAAATTAATACTTAAGTTACAGCTATACAGGTCAAGCAATAGAACATTAACCAGCACTGCAGACAACTCCCTAATACCTCCCTCAATCTCTGACCCCACTCTCTTCCCCAAGGGTAACCATGAATCTGATTGGTAGCAACATAGATTACTTTTGCCTATTTATAACTTTGGGTGGGTGGAATCTACACGAAGTTCTTTTGTGTCACAATATTATATTTGTGAGATTCGTTCATCTAATTGTGTATAACTGTAGTTTGTTCATTTTTGTCACTGTATAGCATTCTGTTGTGTGAACATATTTCAACTTATTTATCCATTCTATTGTTGGTGCATATTTGGGTTGTTTTCAGCTTTTGGCTATTACGCATAATGCTGCTATGAACACATCTTATGATGCACATATGCACATATTTTGTTGCCATCGTTATTATGTACCTAAAAGGGGAATCTTTTAGTATAAGAAGGTGGATCTTTATCTTGGGTAGATAAGGGCAAACCATTTTTTTTTCAAATTGATTGAATCAATTTACTCTTTCACTGGGAATGCTTGCTTGTCTATATTCTTGCCAACACTTGACATTGTCAACTTTTTTTCAGTTAAAACATTATGGTGGGTGCATAGTGGCATCTATAATGATAAACAGTTATTGGCTTGACTGACATCTAGTCTGTATGCCCAATAGGGGAAGAAAGAGTGTTGTGGTGGATCAGTCCATGAATCCATGTACTGATTATAGACTTGCTCTTAGGATCAATGACTAGACTGATTGGAGTTTATAGACAAACCCAGGTCTGAAGATTTGAAAGGAGGGAATAAAGGCTGCCTCTTATTTTGCCATGCACTATATTGCAGAGAGATAGATCCTCTGCTTGAGATTGAAGAAAGTCAGGGTGAACTAGCATGGTCCAGTATGGTGATAAAGAGCTGATAGAAATGATTAAGGACGTTGCAATACATGGAGTTTCACATACTATGAAAAAGTGGTGGCTGAATGCACCAGACAGTTTGAGTTCTCATGGTGAAATCTTCTTTTGAATTCTGGAGGAAGAGGTAGGGCTTATAGAGAAAGGCCTAGAATGGCACTGATAAAGCAGCAGCAACCAAAATAATACTAATAATATCTAACAATAATACAGTGTTTTTTTGTGTTAACTCATTTAACTCTTTCAACAAATCACTGAGCTGTCCTTTTCCCATTTTGAAGATGTGCAGCCAGGTACAGAGAGGTTAATCCACTTGCCCCAAGCCACACAACAAGTAAATAATAAAGTCTGGATTTGAACCGAGGTAATCTGGCCTCAGAATCCATGCTCATGATTTTATGGTGTCCACAAAATTAGGGTTGGGGGCAGAGGAGCTCATGCAGAGAGATTCTTGGAAAGGAAGAAAAGGAAAAGTAGGCAGGGAATTAGCCAGGTAGTCTCATTGATATCAACTAGTGTTCTAACAAATGAAATACATTCTGCACTGTTGCTAAAGAGGAAAATCATGGAAGTCTGAAACATCTCCAGATTTATATGTGAGAGTCTTTGGCACACAACAAGCACAATGGCTGGGTAGGGAAGCCCAGTTTAGCAGACAGCCTAACACTGAGGATTGCTAATCTTCCCTCCTTTTCACACCTGTATCAGGTTTTTATGGTTGCTCTACTGAGGGATAGATGACAGAGTATCATGGCTGGTTGCTTTTGGGTTTCTGGGTTGCAGAGAAACCAATCAGGGGCAGTAGTTGATATTTACATTTCTAATATCCATGCCAGTGGTTAGGGACCCTATATTTACCCAGATCCCCAGGCAACCAGAAAGGTCAATTCTTGGGCTCCAAACCCTCCTGCTTTCTCCTTGGGGCCCTGTCACTAAGACCTGGGCTGGGGAATGGAATCTGGAGACTGATAATTGGGAGGGAGGAACAAAGGAGGGACACCCTAGTGGGTGCTTAGGCAGAGATTAAACCATCTCTGCTTTCCTGGAGCCCCTGGACATGGCCTAATTCCCCACACCCTCCTTACACCTTTGTTTCCTCTTCCCCTAGCTTCTCCTTTTTCCTCATACTTACATTGCCCCATTCACAAATATAAATAACTTCCCTTGGAGAAGAGCTCACTCTAAATGGGGAGAGGAGGAAGGAAATCTCAGGCTGGGAAGTGGCCAGAGTGACCTCTGACCTCTATATAGTTCATGTAGATAGTCTCAGGACCAAGTGTCCAGGATAGAATGGGTCAATGACTGCACCGTTGGTAAAGAAAAGGCTTGGGAAACACCTATAGAGTCATGTTTGGACTCAGTCATCTCCAGCCCAAGGAGGTAGCTCAGTGAAAACAGAGCTCTACCTCTCTTACTTAGCAGAACCCAGCCCTCAGTATTGCTCATCTCCTTGAGACTTCTCCCAGAGAAGACTTTGCCTTTTCTCCTCTCAGCCTCATTCGGGTTGTTCCCCATCCTTGCCAACGCTTGTTATTTCTTGTCTTTTTGGCTCATATATATATATATTTGTTTCTGGGCCATTGATTCTGTTCCATTGATCTATTATGTCTGTTTTTATGCCAGTAACATACATCTTTGATTACCATAGCTTTGTAGGATAGTAGGATAGTTTGAAATCAGGACGTGTGATGCCTCCAACTTTGTTCTTCTTTCTCAGAATTACGTTGGCTATTTAGGGATCTCTTGTGCTTCCCTAAGAATTTTAGGATTCTTTTTCTACTTCTGTGAAAATGCCATTAGAATTTTGATAGGGATTGCATTTATTTATTTATTTTTTATTTTTTTGTTTTTGTTTTTGATAGGGATTGCCTTTAATCTGTAGATGGCTTTGGGTAGTATGGGCATTCCAACAATATTCTTTTTTTTTTTTTTTAATTTATTGCTTTAAGCAATCTCTACACCCAATGTGGAGCTCAGACTCATGACCCCCAGACCAAGAGTTACATGCTCTTCTGACTGAGCCCTGTCACTAAGACAGGTGCCAGGTGCCCCAACAATATTAATTCTTCTGATCCATGAACATGGGATGTCTGTCCATTTATTTGTGTATTCTATTTCTTTCATCAAAGTCTTATGGTTTTCATTGTACAGATCTTTTACCTCTTTGCTTAAATTTATTCCTAAGTATTTTATTGTTTTTGATGATATTGTAAAGTGAGTTTGTTTTCTTTATTTCTTTTTCAGGTAGTTCATTATTAGTGCATAGAAATGCAACTGATTTTTATATGTTGATTTTTTTTATCCTGCAATTTGTTTATTAGTTCCAACAGTTTTTTGGTGGAGTCTAGGATCTGCTGTATATGTTGAACCGTCCTTGCATTCCAGGGATTTGAAACTGGAAGTCATCCTAGGACTCCCCCATCTAATCACTAGGTCCTAGGACATCTGCCTCTTGTATATTCTAAGTCCTCCCTTCCTCCTCAAACCCACTGCATGGCCAACTCTTTCATCTGCATGTCTTCGTTCAGATGTTGCTTTCTCCATGAGGCCTACTCTGACCACTGTATTTAATGCTACAAACTATCCTTCCTCCAGTACTCTTGATGCCCTTTATTCTGCTCTTCCTATTTTTTCCAAAGTGCATACACTCTTCTAACATGTTTATTATGTCTATCGTTTATTTTATTTATTTATTTACTTACTCACTTACTTACTTACAGTGAGTGCACACACACGAGC